GAAGAATTTTATTCTTTCACTTTTGTCTAAGGAATCAATTATTTATTTATTTATTGTTATGGTCCAAGGTTAGGACGATGGAAGAACAACACAAAACACAACAGTAGAAATAACAAAGAATATATTACACAAAAAATAATACAAGTGGAAGGTGTTAGTGTTATGGGATCTTACCCATAATAATAATGGACTATTCCATACTTAATAGATACTGCGCCTCAGGAGTAGGCAAGGAGTCAGTCGTCCAGATACTTTCTGAGCGACTCATCGGTTCAACTCTCTTCTTACGGGCGGGAGGAACCCGAAGGAGGCTACGCCGAAGGGCGGAGTCTCCTTCGGGGAGGTTAACCGGCCCAGGTTTATACGGGTTCACATGAGCTATTTGAGCCTAATGGCTGAAATGCCCACGTTAAAAAGGCCTTGTGCCACATGACACCCTCGTGGGGGTGGGGGGGTGACTGAATATCGTCAGTCGTTCAGTTTTGAATGCACGGTTGTACTCTTCCTACGGACGGGAGGAACCCGAGGAGGCTACGCCGAAGGGCGGATAAAATCGGCCCAGAACCCGTTCATACGGGTTCAAAAAGCCTAATGGCCTACGTTAAAAGGCCTTGACACCCTCGTGGGGGTGACTGAATATTGTCAGTCGTCCAGATACTTTCTGAGCGACTCATCGGTTCAACTCTCTTCTTACGGGCGGGAGGAACCCGAAGGAGGCTACGCCGAAGGGCGGAGTCTCCTTCGGAGGTTAACCGGCCCAGAACCCGTTTATACGGGTTCACATGGGCTATTTTTGGCCGAGCCTAATGGCTCGGAAATGCCCACGTTAAAAAGGCCTTGTGCCAATGACACCCTCGTGGGGGGGTGACTGAATATCGTCAGTCGTTCAAGTTTTGAACGGATTGCACGGTTGTACTCTCTTCCTACGGACGGGAGGAACCCGAAGGAGGCTACGCCGAAGGGCGGAGTCTCCTTCGGGGAGGTCGCTCGGCCCAGAACCCGTTTATACGGGTTCAAATGGGCTATTTTTGGCCGAGCCTAATGGCTCGGAAATGCCCACGTTAAAAAGGCCTTGTGCCACATGACACCCACGTGGGGGGTGACTGAATATCGTCAGTCGTCCAGATACTTTTTGAACGGATCATCGGTTCAACTCTCTTCTTACGGACGGGAGGAACCCGAAGGAGGCTACGCCGAAGGGCGGAGTCTCCTTCAGGGGAGGTAAAGCTCGGCCCAGAACCCGTTTATACGGGTTCAAATGGGCTATTTTTGGCCGAGCCTAATGGCTCGGGAACGCCCACGTTAAAAAGGCCTTGTGCCAAATGACACCCTCGTGGGGGGGTGACTGAATATCGTCATTCGTTCAAGTCTTGACCAGCTGATCGGTTGAACTCTCTGCCTTCGGGCGGGAAGAACCCGAAAGAGGCTACGCCGAAGGGCGGATTCACTTTCGGGTAGGTAAACCGACCCTGAACCCGTATAAACGGGTTCAATGGGCATATTTTTTGCCGAGCCCACGGGCTCGGAGATCCCACGTTAAACCGGCCTTGTGCCACATGACACCCTCGTGGGAGGGGGTGACTGAATATCGTCAGTAGTTCAAGTTGAGTCAGTAGTTCAAGTCGAGTCAAGAGTCGAATCAGAGGCAGTCGGAAACAGAGTCGCGTTCAGACAATTACTGCAAGACATTGGAATAGTGATACTGGTCGAGACTACATAATTCTCTCTACTAAACCTGATTGTTCATACTAACACTTCTACTTCTCTGTATATATTCCTGTTTGTAATATACCTGTGTTATTCCATACCTGTGTTCGCGTTCTTCTTTATTAGTTCTACCTTGGACTATCACCGTGATACAAGGAACCGGACCATAAAAAGTGGTGACGAAGATTCGAATTCATTCGGTGGAAGAAAAAAAAATTCGTTCGCCACAGCATAACAGTATGGCTGTCAGACTGGTTTGTAGTGAGCCACTATCAACTCGACTCGATTCAATACCGATATTTAACAGTCCCCCCATGAGGAATGTATGTGGCACAAGGCCGAGCTTAACGTGGTAGGCTCGGCCCAAAATATACCCTTTGAACCCGCCTAGATGGCTTCAGGGCCTGTCCACATCCCCGGACAAAACTTTACCCTTCGGCAAAGCTTCGTCCGGGTTCCTCTCTGCCAAAGCAGAGAGTTGACTCTTCAATACCGCCCGTCTCGCTTGAGTGGCGTAGTATATATATATATATATATATATAGTTAGGAAGAGTTCATTCTGTCGATCTAGGTAAGGACCCATGACATTTATTTATTTATTTAAGAGAACTTTACCCCAATCTCCGCACGTTAAGGCGCTGTTTTAACTTGGTAAATTTAATTTTAATAATGCGGATAATATTGAATTAATTTTTCACATGTCTCAGTATTATAAATAAAGCTAACAAATTTCAGTTTTTTGTAGATAATGAAGTGACCAATTTTCAACATAAATTTACAAATAAATAAATAAATAAGCCCAAACAATATATTTCCCATTTTACCTTTGTAGTAATACAGTTTAGTCGTTAAAATTAGCCCAAATTAAAGAAAGATCTACCTAAATACATGTTGCTCCAGTGAATACGTGTTGCTTCGTTTTGTACCCCGGTATCAATTATCAGATATTTGAGCAGGCAGCATCTTCGTCTTAAAATTACAAATTTATATCAGAAACATATTGAATGATGACATTAAAAACAAAATACTCAATATGTGACGCGTTTCGTCGCAGAAACGTCTTCAGACTAATAATGCTTTTATTAAGCCAGTCTGATCTATCTACCTATCTATCTATCTATCTATCTATCTATCTATCTATCTATCTATCTATCTATCTATCTATCTATCTATCTCATCAGACGAACTTGCCAAAAGATACTGTGCCAATCTTCCGATGTTCTCTTTTAGGTGAGGTTCACTAACCGATGATGTGTCAATAATAATACTATTATAAGTCAATGATGATAAAACTGTATGGAACGCCGTGTATAATCCACAATGTGATGACTGAAGGGTTGAGTGGCACCAGCGTTGAACTATATTTATTACTATATTTAGTGGTACATGTGGTTGAATAGACATCCTTGATTTTTAAATAGAGAAATTAATGCCTACTGGCTTAGCGATTGAACGTCTTAATAAATAAGATATTTTTTTTGATAGAAAAAAAAAATTCTAGTCTTTTTAGTCAGTGAAAATTCTTTCGTCCGACACGTTTTCTTTGTTAAAACTTTCGTTCTCTAAGCAGATGGACATTAATTCCAGTGTTTCGAAAACAGAGACGTCTGCTCGAAGACATCTACCCACTAAATATTAAGTTTAGAGTAATAAGAAATAAAGTTCGTCTCTTAACACGCATACACACACACACACACATATAGTGGTACTCACTTGAAAAATCCTTAGGTATTTTGGCTTGTAATAAAACAAACCAGTACCCAAGGAAAAATGAGGAATAAAAAAAAGAAAGAACTAAGACCATGAAATTGAGGTGAAAATAATCGGCCAGAATCCAGGCTCAGAGTCCAAAAAAACCTCCAAAACGAGTAAAAGTAACAACGTAAAGTGCTCAACACACACACACACACACACACACACACACACACACACACACACACACGCACACACATATATATATATATATATATATATATATATATCTGCTGCTATTAACGGATTGCTCTTCTATTACAAATTGAGCGCTCTTGGCTAATGGCATTTGCATACTGCCTTGCGCCGATAGCTTAGGGGTAGAATCTCTGACTGATGCCAAATCAGTCGAGTTTCGATACCGGTTTGAAGCAATCGGACATCTAGTCACATTCATGATCAGTCATACGGTAACACAGGCTTCTATGTAGATGATGAATATCTATCTATCTATCTATATATATATATATATATATATATATATATATATTATAAATTAATGGATTTAAAATATGTTTTTTTTTCGCTACACAGTTCTAACCATGTTTCAAAAATGGAAGCTAAAAGCCCCGAATTTAATTTTGTAATTAAATTAAATACATTAGTTCCATTTCATCCTCAAGCGAATTTTGGAGTAACTTTTAAAATTACTGGGTTTTAAATACACGGCTAAAACAAACTTCATGTTTCCAAGGTTACAGATAAATCTATTTTTCTAGACAGGGGTGTCTGGGTGTTCAATATATCTATATTTTAGAAAAAGCTAGATAGATAAATAGGGAGTGTGTTGTGAGAGAGAGACATTAAACGTACCGTTTAGTAGCATTTTTAACGCTTAGCATGATTTAATAAAAGAGAACAATCAGTGTATATTTTGATAATGTTTAAGTAATTTTCACTCATTTTCGTATCAGAATTAAGTTGTTTACTTCTAGTTAGTGTAAATACAAAAAAGAAAATATCTGTTTCTCTAGAAATTAATGTATTCATTAAATTCCATCTTTGTTAAACAGAAAAGCCGAGTGTACCTAATGCGATATGCAGTCTCAGAATTCTTGCAATCGGTCGACTAAAGATGGCATGAAAATGTCAGAAATGATTTAGAATTATAACATTCCTAACACCAATTGCCAGTATGGAAAGAAAAACAATTCATCAACCTTTCGTTTGTTCGCAAAATCAAATCATAATTTTTTTCTTGAATATAGCCTGTGATAGATTAAATTCCATGAAAGTAACAGCCAATTTTTCTATACAGTGGAACCAAGAAAGAGGTATACAGTGATTAACAAAAGTTTAAGACCATTTATCTGTAAAAAGATTTTTTTTGCAGTATCTTTTATCATATGAGATTTCATGATGCGATAATTTTTGTTAATGCATCATCCATTGTTCACACATGGTTTCTGGTCAAAACGTTTTTGTCATTACCACATTAGCAGACATTGTGATCACATTTGTGGAGTGAATTAGGTTTAGAACATGAGCAAAGAATCCTCACTTTCATCTACACTCGTTGTTCAACAAACGGCGCGACGGGCCTAATAGGTGAGGCGCAAGTGGATAGAAGGTGAGGCGGAAGTGGATACAGCTGAGGCGGAAGTGGATAGAAGGTGAGGCGGAAGTGGATACAGCTGAGGCGGAAGTGGATAGAAGGTGAGGCGGATCAGGATAGCAGGTGAGGCGGATAAGGATAGCAGGTGAGGCGGAAGTGGATAGCAGCTGAGACGGAAGTGGATAGAAGGTGAAGCGGAAGTGGATAGCAGGTGAGGCGAAAGTGGATAGAAGGTGAAGCGGAAGTGGATAGCAGGTGAGACGAAAGTGGATAGAAGGTGAGGCGGAAGTGGATAGAAGGTGAAGCGGAAGTGGATAGCAGTTGAAGCGGATGAGGATCGCAGGTGAGGCGGAAGTAGATAGATGCTGAGACGGAAGTGGATAGAAGGTGAAGCGGAAGTGGATAGAGCTGAGGCGGAAGTGGATAGAAGGTGAAGCGGAAGTGGATAGAGGTGAAGCGGAAGTGGATAGAAGGTGAAGCGGAAGTGGAAGCAGGTGAAGCGGATGAGGATAACAGGTGAGGCGGAAGTGGATAGCAGCTGAGACGGAAGTGGATAGAAGGTGAAGCGGAAGTGGATAGCAGCTGAGGCGGAAGTGGATAGAAGGTGAGGCGTAAGTGGATAGCAGCTGAGGCGGATGAAGATAGCAGCTGAGGCGGAAGTGGATATCTCGTGAGGCGGATGAGGATAGCAGGTGAGACGAAAGATCATGGCAGATGAGACGGATTAGGACAACAGGTGAAGCGGAAGTGCAATGCTCGTGAGGCGGATGAGTATAGCAGGTGAGGCGTAAGAGGATAGCAGGTGCGGCGGAAGAGGATAGCAGGTGAGGCTGAAGAGGATAATAGGTGCAGCGGATGAATATAGCAGGTGAGGCGGAATGAATGAAAGACAATCTAAGATTTAGAAACAATATAAACTCATATGCCAAAAATTAACTATTATTCCAAAATTTAAACTTTTATTATGGATTACTTATAATTTTTTGCATGAGTCCCAGTATAAACAGTTATAAATAATTATTGAACGATTTTATCATTGTTTATATTTTTGCGTTATATTAGTATTAAGGAGATAGCAATTAGGTTCCGCAAATTGGAGGAGAGAGTTATCAATGATGATGTTCTGTCTTCAAATGCGCGGTTTCACCTTCTCTTTTTTTATATTAAAATGTACTTTGTATCATACAAAATTAGGTGAGTCGCGGGCAAATTTTTATTTCGAAAATGCAGTCCAGAGAAAAAAGAAAAATTTGGGAACCACTTACCTGCATAAAGAACCAATGAATCCTATTCTAAAGTTGAAATAAGTGTAAAGGTAAATTTGCCGTAAAACAGAGACCTTCAACGTTCTCTAACCGATTTTGCCACAGAGGAGCATTCGGTTAGCAAGGTCGATTTTACTGTTTTTAAACTAAAATCATCCATGATTCTCTTACGGACATTTATATCTGCTCAAAGCGTATCCAAATGTAAACAAGTAACGTCACACATTATGAAATGGACAAAGTCTGACAATTATTTTAAGACATTTTTATGTTTTTACATTCTTTTTTTATAGATACAAATATTAAAGTAAATGCTCTGTTTATAATAAACAATATTGAATGTCCGAGAAATTGTCATAGAAAATATGCGTCCTCCGATAGAAATCGAACCTGTATCCTATACGGAACCGTCATATAGCCTGACGTGCTTTTACCGATTTCGCCACAGAGAAGCGTTTCGGTTAACAAGCTTGATTATACTGTTTTTAAACTACAATCTTCCATGATTCTCTCACGTACATTCATATCTGCTCGACGCGTATCCAAATGTAAACAAATGGCGTCACACATTATGAAATGGACAAAGTCCGACAATTATTTTAAGACATTAAGGTGTTTATACGTAAAAAAAATACATTGGTATACAATCCAAGTGGATCCTAGTAATATAAAAATATTAGAACTGATCCACAAAAAAGAGCACGGTGTACAGGGTGTTTCAAAAAGAATACGTCAAAATCATTACGCTGTTTTTTCAGGTCTATAGCATTGTAGTGGACTGAATCAGTGGTTATTTGATAGAGTAGTTATCAAAGTTTGATTGGGTGTCAGTTTCACCACTGTCGTTAGTATAACTTCCGGTGCAGAGCTGAATTGTGGGAAGATCAATCAAAATGGCGACTCATCAGCAGAAGGCGTTTTGCAATGCTTGAGTATAGAGCACCCACATGAAACTGTTGAGCATGAAAGAGATTCCCCTAAAGTGAACGTCTTCTGTGTTGTGTCTCAAGACAAGGTCTATGATTCCTTTTTTCTTTGAAGGAAACCGTTACAGGACAAACCTATCTCGAAATGCTCCAAAACTGGCTATTCACTTTACTGCAAGCAGATTCGAATGACTTCATTTTTCAGCAAGATGGAGCACCACTCCATTGGCATCTCGGGGTTAGAGCTTATCTGAATGAAAACGTGCCTCAGCAATGATTGGGAGGAGAGGTGCTAAAGACCTTGCTCTCTGTGCTTGGCCTGCCAGATCCCCGGACCTCACTGTGTGTGACTTTTTCTCGTAGGGGTATGTTAAAGACCAAGTTTATGTTCCAGCACTTCCAGCAAGTATCGATGACTTGAAAAATCGAATAAAAGCTGCAATCAACACGGTGCACCGTGACATGCTGAGGCGCGTTTGGGAGGAATTCTCATATCGGCTTGATGTTGTCCGCGCTGCCGGTGATGGCCACATTGAGCACTTATAAAATATGAAATGAAACTTGAATGTATATACAACACATGTGTTTATGCTAGCGTTTGTAATTTTTTTTCGTTTTTGACATATCACGTGATGATTTTGGCGTATTCTTTTTGAGACACCCTGTATTTTATTTATACAGAGCAATATAATTAAAAACCAAACAAATCCTTTTTAACTGGTGGGGAATGAAATGAAGTTCATTTGTGTAAAGTTAGAGGAAGGGAAATGTAACAGTTAATTGTGATGAATTGATATTGGAAGCTAAAGGGTCAACTTAAACCTTAACTTGCCGAAAACAACTAATATAGAGTTTACACATTTCACTGTTTCTATTAGACGTTAGGCACGAAACTGGTATCAAGGGCGGTGTTAAGTATTTACCTTAAAGGGAAAGAGTATTATTTAAAAATAAAATAATAAAAAAAAGGAATACTAACCTTATGACGGCAAATTAGAGGTATTAGAAGAAAACACAAATTAAATTTAAAATTAAAGAAGAAATTAAAAACGAACCCCGCAAAATAAATTGAAATGTTATGTATCTAAAGAGACATAATTTAATAATGGAAAGAGACTTAGATATTCTAAGTAGATGAAAGTTTATAAATTTATAATTTTTATTTCTTATTAAATAATAATAATAAATGTTTTGCTGGTAAAAGGTGTATGTGAATGATGGGGACAGGCAGTTTGAATATTTGAGGGATTCATATGTTTATTATTGATATGATTTTATAATCAAATACGATACATTATGTGCACATGTTTTGCTTTTCATTAATATACATCTACTTTTGAACCCCTATATATATATATATATATATATATATATAAGTGAACATTGAAGTCAACACTCAGAGGCGACAGGCTGCTGGAAACAATCGTCAGGCTGCCCTGACGATTGCGTCCACATGAAACAGCCTGTCGCCTCTGAGTGTTGACTTCAATGTTCACATATATATATCCTAGTAGCATGGCCCGTCGTTGCCCGTGCTTGATTCAAAAATCGTACAGCAATCGCTATCACTTGACTTTTAATATTTTTGCCCTTCCTTACCTTTAAAGGAGTGCCCTTTGCCGTGCTGATGTTGCTACATGCCTTACTTCTTGCCTATCTCACAGTGCGAATTTTTTCTAAGCTCTATACTAAACATTAAATCTGTTACGAAAAAAGAACTAAACAAAATGAACACAAAACGATCTGCTTTAAAAAAGGACTCATAACTGGAATTACTTTATCACACCTAACCCAGATCTGCGGAATCAGAATCAACGTTGACAAGCGAAGGAGCCAATTGGAGGAAAGTACCATGCAGATTTAAATTTTTCCCACTTGTGACGAATGCAGCTATCGATTTTTTTTGCTAGTTAACATTCGTGTCAGTCAGCTGTTGGCTCTCACACTAGCCAATAGAATCTTCCTGCCTATTCGTGGCAGCCAGCTGTTGTGGTAGTCAAACTACATGAAAACTGCTGTAGAAGCATGAAAAAATCGATTATTTCCACTATCAGTGGGAGTTGAGAAATGCAAATTTGGTCTTGGCCTTTCCGCTAACTTGGAGCATGTGCCTGTAAATTTTGGTGCAAATCCGTCGAAAATTGCGGCCGTGCATTCGTTACACACACACACACACACACACACACACACACACACACACACACACACACACACACACACACACATCCTGCCTTTTATAGATAGAGATTTACATACATTCTATCTCTGATACTAAGCACTTTATCCTATAAATATAGCACACCTTAAAACTATATTTCTTCATATATATATATATATATATATATATATATATATATATATATATATATATATATATATATATATAATTGTGTATTTTGCAGCAATCCCTCATTTATGCAATTTTTTTGAAAACGACTAAGTAGCCTTGATCCTATAGTTAGTTGGTAGATATGAAGTAATAATATAATTGAGGAATTTTGATAACTAGTAAATAGGTTTTGGAATCTGTGAAATGATGGGTCATAGTGGATATCTGGGTTTATGTATTTTAATATTACCCTATAGGTATCCTGGTTGGTAATCACCAATGATTTTGTTGAATTTTAAGAATTCTACATCAGTATTGTTTAATGTTATAAGGTTGTTGACAGATTTTTTACAGTCTCTGTGGTGTTTTTTTTTTCAGGGAACCCAGTGCCTTGAGCGACTATTTGGATTTAATCTCAACCAAGAGCTCAAGTAGAATTCGTATATACGATCTAAAGATACTGGAAAATGGTCGGTTTCATATCCTGCTAAACTGTAAGTACCTGTCTTGTAATTTTATATATTATTTTCAGTTTATCAAAAAATATGAATGTAAAAATAAAGAAAAAAGTGTGCAAGACAATAAGAAACACTACCTGCCAAAAAAAAGTGAAGTTTTGTTGAAATTGGTTGAAAAATGTAGGAAATCCGATCCCATATATAAACGAACACACACACACACACACACACACACACGCACACACACACACACAAACAAACAAACAACCTGGGTTTTATTTTAATCGTGTTTTCAAATTGATTTTGTGCAAAAACAATTGTTTGTTTTTTTTTCAATTTTTGGCGCTGTCAGAACCACCGCAAGGTAATTTTACGTATACTGTGAAGTTTTGTTGAAATCGGTTGAAAAATGTAGGAAATCCGATCCAATATATAAACGTACAGACACACACACACACACACACACACACACACACACACACACACACACACACACAACCTGGGTTTTATAATAAGTATGTTTATATATATGTTATATATGCTTTATTGATTCTTCTGATGAGTTGTTTTTTAATTCTTTTCTAACAGTTTTGATTATTTTTGTTAGAATATTGTTATAATAATTGTTCTTAGTGCTCTTTTTAAGCTCTCTGCCTTCTATAAGTTTTACATCAGATTTTATACATGTCAACGATCAGATCTGATTGCTGACATGTATACATTCACGAGAC